AGGCTCTTCAAGGAGGCTTGTAATCTTTCTCAACTTTTAGTGATCTTCCATTCAAAATTAGCCTTAGACTTCTGAAAAAAGATTGTTAAGGTTTCTTTAAAGAAAATCATGGATTTGTAGTCACTCAAAAATTTCAAAAAATGAGCAAGATATGGCCCTTGGAAGTCAACAAACCCTAGCTCAGAGAGTGTCAAAATGACTTGAAACCCCTTTCAACTTTTGATGATTTTTCTTGAACAATTGGATCTTGTCATGTGAAGAGAAGTTTTTTATATTATTATAAGAATACATAGCAAAAATAACCAACTCAAAATGTTGAAAATTGAGAGAGTTATGCACTTGTGCTCACTGATTCTAGTATTTGCTCAATTAGGTCAAACTTGTTGAATCAACCTTGAATATTTTTTGGACTTTCTTGGCAAAATAAGCATGATGAGTCATAATAGGTCTTTAAATGGTATTTTATTGAAGCACACTCAAATATGGAGCTTAAGTCTCAATGAAGCTTGTTGAAAAAGTCATGGAAATAAACACATGAATCTATGAATCTTCTTGATGAATTCCACCACCAACTTTGGAGAGATCTTGACCTAAATAAAGTGAGAGAGATAATTGAACATCAAGTCTTTGATGCCATAGACATGACCTTGAAGATTGAGCTTTTGCAATCCATTAGAGAACCATTTGATTGAGATCCACCCCTTAAAACCCTAGGTTAGATGGTGAGATGAATGCAATTGTGATCACCTACAATATGAACATTCAAAGGAACATATATACACATATTGATGTTAGTTAAAAGAAAACATGTATAAGATACACAATTCAAGGTGCTTGATAATCCCCCAAGAGCAAACTTAAAGACATGCTAAAGAGAGAAACAACCCTAATATGTGTGTCTTGATGCATTATGACATGAGATGATGAGAAATCTTAGGGGGGGAAATTGGGGTATAACAATTAGTTTATTAAATTTAACACATATATATCTAATATGTGGCCTATATTATAGGATTTAATGGGAATAGTTTTTAAAAAATTAATGAGTTGTATGGAAATTTAAAAAATATAGATGGGTTATTTTATTTGCTAGGAACTGTAAAATAATATAAAAAATTTAGTGGGGTCCATTTAAAGAACTCAAATGAGTTCCTTGAATTTGGATGCTCTTAGAGGAGCATTATCGATGTCATGGAAGATACTCATAGATGATGGTGCAATCACACAGTCAAACCATTTTCCTCCATATGTTCTTGATCTGATGGTTAGAAAAACAGTTTTACGTCTTGTCTTCTCAACTTTTTTAAAGTGTTTTAAATCTCTATTTAGTTTGTATAATTATCAACTATTCTGGACTTCTTGTAAACTTTTCTTGAAGACTTCTTGAACTTATCAACTCTTTTATAGTACATTATTATATAGTATTGACTAGGTCTTTAAGAACCCCTTCTCTTCTCTTGTTTAAAACATCAGTTGTTATCTATTCTCTCTATTTTCTAAAAACTCTTTTTATATGCTCACCACCTGAGATAACCTCTCAAAATAAATTGGGTATGGAGAACTAATTGGTTATTATTGTTGAAGATCGTGTTAACTTTGAAGAAAGGTTGGAACACCTAGCCTTTGATTACTAGGGGATGGTTTCCAGATTTGGATGAGATGAGTAATTTGATATGTTTTATGATCCTACTTACCCGAATTTGGTTGTTGAATTTTGGGTGAATGCATCTATCCAAGTGATGATTTAGAAAGAAGCCCTTTGTTCTAAAGTATTTTGTATTCCTATCGACGTGTCTCTAACTACTATTGCAAAGGCAATAGACTGTAAGGACCATGGAATTCCTTCGAATATGATGTCATGGGAACAATATCTCCCATTCTGCACCATCTTCAATGATTCATCTAACCTTTCTAAAGCCTCTAATCTTAAGCCTACGACATTGTTCTAGTATCAAATTTTGGCCACAAACTTTTTGTTGAAGAACAAGAATACAAATGTCTTAGATATATATGAAAGAAACTTTCTTCTTCTACTTGTCAACAAAGGTGCAAAGGTCAATCCCTCCTATGTTTTATTTGAGTATCTGAAGAAGACTCTTTTATCCTTCCAAGAAGGAAATACATTCTTCATTCCTTATGGAAGAGTCATGTCTAAACTATTCATGCAACAATGAGTTGTGAAAACTAAGGATGAGGTGGACTCTATAGTTCGGGGTCATCAGCTAGAGCTATCAAGAGTTTGGAGAGCCTCTCACAATGCCTCTGTCAAGGTTAGGGAGGTCACTCCTGATGGATCTTATGTGTAATTTTGTTTTCTTTGTGTAATGTATGATTTGTTTTATCTATAATTTGGTTTAAGGCAAAGTACTGGTACTGGTATACGTGTACACTGTTTAGACTCAATGAATTATCAAGTGTGATTATATTATGTTATCTTACGATTATCAAATTTGTCGATTTTCCAATTTTTTTTAATAATTGAATTGTATTTTGTATTATCGTATCGTTTATTATGTGTTTTAATCTTTTAGATAAAATTCACTACCAATTACTATATGATAGTTACACAAAAAATACACATAACCGTTTTTTCCAAATAACACAAAAATAATGATATGTTATGTCTGAATTTAACATACCTCTGTGACTTGGACATGTACAACTGAATTGAGCTAACATCTGACTTGAGCTCTCTTATATTCATATTCTCCTTCTTCACAAGTTGACTTGATCTCTAATCAACATGTTGCATACTTTTCAACGTTGTTTCAAAATGCAACAACAAAACTTAAGTGGTTATCATTTTCAAATAATAGGGTCAATGTGATAATTTAGCATTGTTTTCCAAATTGATATTGAACTATAATACTAAATTCACTGTTGTAACAAAAAATGAACATTTTGCTTTGATACAAAAAATTCCAATCTATTATACTCAGTTTAAACTTTATATTGCAACAAATTCAGTACTTTCTTGATGACTAACATTTACATGTTATCATTATATTGGATAAATTATAATCAGAAAGAACAAGCTTCAGTTGGATCTAAAAAGTTGATATTATTTAACTCAAATACAGAGCATGACCATATAAAATAGTTCTAATAGTTAATTTACAAGAGCTTATCTCAAATTTATAGGCATGTCTTTATCATGTTATGTCCATGCATCCCACATAGAGACCGCACTTGAGCTTGTTTATACCACGCATTAACTATGATTGTTTACCCATGTAAGCCCTTCTTGGTATGTGTTTTCGACTTCAAACTCTTTTTGAGTAAATTGTTTGCACCCATTACTTAACTGTCTGATTTAAAGAATAAATCATCAACATAATTTACAATAACACGCAACTTAAATTTGAATAATATCACAATATAGATTCTTGTTTATGCAACAGAAACACTAACAATTCTATTGAGAACCTAATCCCCAATTCCATAAATGATGGGTAAGAGTTGGATAAAATACACGACCTAATCCCCAATTTCATAAATCAAATTCAAATCAATTTCAATTTATATACAAAACTAATCATCGAATCCATTATTTCTCGTTAAGAATTCAAAATATTTTATTCAACTAAAAATACAGACTCTAATCCCCAAATCGGTTGTTTTTAGGTAAGAAGATTTATCAAGTTTAACATGAAATATAGACCCTAATCACCACATTGATCGTTTCTGGGTAAGATTTCAAATCAACTTCAACTTAAAATACAAACCCTGTTACCCAAATCGAACGTTTCTCTGCAATAACTCAAATTAACTTAATTTTGGGAAGATATAAGATTTAGATATGAATAATTACCCGTGAAGTGGAGGAATAACTATGAACCTTTCGATGAGGGAATTGAACAACAACAATGGAGGAGATACGGGAGAAGGAAGAAGAAGATCGAGGAAGAAGAAGTTGATATGGGAGAAGGAGAAGAAGATGGAAGCTTCATTTGAAAAACAAAAACACGTAAAAAATGGGTTTTTTTAGTTAAATATTTTTTAATTAAATATTTTTTTAATTAATAAATTATTATTATATTGATGAACGACTGATTTGCAATAAATGAAAGTTTTAAAAAAAAACTTTAGGTAGACTGTCTGCATGATAACAATGATGTGATATTTTAGGGCTTACTAGTCTTTCCTGATTGATCAATTAAAATGACTTTTTTAAAGAAGTCAATTGACAAACTCCACCATAGAAGTCCCCTTTAAATAATGATCCTGTGAAATATAATATTTTGAAATTTTAAATTTTTGAATGTGTCATGATATTTTTTAAAAACCGAGTCATTCAGTTCGATTGGCTTAATAACTACTATATAGTTTTGTTATAGAGACTGATTTATTCAATCGAATTATCTGATATAATATGATTTAGTCATGCGATTTGACTAATGACTGAATAATTCAACTAGTAAAGCAATGATCTAATATTCTCACTTATTCGATAACATGTCTGATATTTAATACTGATTTTTAAAACATCTTTTAAAACACTAGCTAATTGTTTTTTTTTATTTAAAAAAGAAAAAGAATACAACCTTTTTACGGTCACAAAAAGAAAATAAAGAGAAATCTTTTGGGTGACAAATTGAGTCATTAGTTGGGTGAGATTAGTTGGTGTTAGTATAGTTAGAACAATAAACAAGAAATTGATAGTAGCGGTAATATAACCCCTAACGTAACTATCAATCACATGCAAAGAAGGACATTACATCATGATAAGGCACCTAAGATTTTTTTGAAGAAAAAAATACATTCTCATTCATTCATCCAGTCCACCTTGGACACAAATCTCCCCCAACAGATAAGAGGGTCCCACCTTCTATCCTCTCAACTCCTCTCCTCCCGTATCCTGCGAAACACCTGATTACACCCCAAACAGACAGTTAACAAGAACCACAAGTATCTCAACAAAACAAAAACATCCTCAGTGCAGCGACATTGTCCATATATCACTCTCTACTTGTTTATCGTCTTTCCTCATTTTGATCCTCATGGAGTCACGAGTGCTGTCACGCGCCACCACTCTCTCCTCCCTCCCCACTCTCAACAAACTGCACCGCCTTCCCCTCGCCAATGCTTCCCTCCTCGCCGTGAAGACGATTGGATCACTCTCCGATGGCGGGAACCTCGTCTGGGGAAGACAACTTCGTCCCGAGCTCTGTTCTCCACTTCTTAAGAAAGGTCCTTCACTCCTCCGTCCTTGCCTCGCCACTGCTGAAGGAAACGACTCCGCCGGGTGAGGTCCGTTTAATCCGTTCTGACTCAGTAAACTCAGTCTCAACACTGTACTCACTAATATCATTGTTCTGTGTTTTCTTTACAGTGAAGAGAAGGTAGCTCCGGTTGGGTTCTTCAGCCGGTATCCAGCTCTTACTACCGGTTTTTTCTTTTTCACTTGGTAGGTCACACAACAACCTACGACAGTTTCTTCTGTTGTGTTTTTTTTCCTGCGTGTGACTGTGATCGATCGGTTTGAGTGTTGAAATTACGTCTTTGTCCTTTTGATGCAGGTACTTCTTGAATGTGATTTTCAACATCCTCAACAAGAAGATCTATAACTATTTCCCATATCCTTAGTAAGTTACTTTAAACTTTCGATCGGTTCGTTGATGTATCTCATGTTTTATCTTAGGATCATCTTTTCTGCTAAGAGCATACTATAGAATAATAATTAATTAATAGCTTGTGTATAGTGTTATTGAATATTTAAATTAATTATTTATAGCTAAACCATAATTATATATTTAAATTTCTTTGTGCACATGTTAGATTCATATATTATTAAATTTCCTAGTTTCTCGTTACTTGTCATAAGTTTTGTTGAATTTGATTGACTATGCAGCTTTGTGTCGGTAATTCATTTAGCTGTGGGAGTGGTGTATTGTTTGGTGAGCTGGACCGTGGGCCTTCCTAAGCGCGCTGTAAGCCCAATTCAATATTTCTCGGCCCGTGATCTTAATTATTAGTATTTGCTATCTACACCACCACTTTTTTAGATACACCCTGTTAATCAATTATGAACTTTTCATGAAATCAATCTTTGCATATGGTTGTTGTTTGTGTAGCCTATTGATGGTAACCTGCTGAAGTTGCTGATTCCTGTGGCTGTGTGTCATGCATTAGGCCATGTAACTAGCAATGTCTCATTTGCAGCAGTTGCTGTTTCTTTCACACATACCGTTAAAGGTAACAAAAGTTAAATGGAAGTATCGTATCGTATCGTATCTACTTTCTTTTCTAAATGTGGTCATGAATGAAACTTGTGTTCTCTTCAGCTCTTGAGCCATTCTTTAACGCGGCTGCTTCACAATTTATACTTGGACAATCAATTCCCATCACTCTATGGCTCTCATTGGCTCCTGTTGTTATCGGTAACTTCTTCTGATCGATCTCGTTTATTATTCACAAGAATTTAGCTACACATTGCAATTTGTGGTCATTTTATATGTGAATCTATCTATACAGGTGTGTCAATGGCATCATTGACTGAACTCTCATTCAACTGGCTTGGATTCATAAGTGCTATGATTTCAAACATTTCCTTTACATACAGGAGTATCTATTCAAAGAAAGCCATGGTTGATTATATACATATATATCTTCTATCATTTCATTACTTACTAATGTTCTTTTTTTCATATTATATAAATATTATTATTAAATAACTTTTTCTGCAGACTGATATGGATAGTACCAATATCTATGCCTACATTTCAATCATTGCTCTAATTGTCTGCATACCACCGGCCTTAATTGTAAGTGAATTAATCAAATATTTTTTCCGATGAAATTTGTTGTTATTTGTGGCATTGTATCCTTAATTATTTTATGATTTGATTCCTTAGATTGAAGGGCCTACACTGTTGAAGACCGGTTTCAATGATGCAATTGCTCAAGTAGGTTTGGTTAAGTTTGTATCAGATCTCTTCTGGGTTGGTATGTTTTACCATCTCTACAACCAGGTAACTAAAGCATGCTAAAAGTGTTATATATATATATTGTTAATGAATTAAAGTATTTAATGAAAAAATAAGCCTCTACTAACAATTGATTATTTCAATTTTCATCACTAGGTGGCCACAAACACATTGGAGAGAGTGGCTCCTCTTACTCATGCAGTTGGAAACGTACTCAAACGTGTATTCGTCATCGGATTTTCTATCATTATCTTCGGTAAATATTGTTTTCTTCCATCATTGTATTGCACTCTAAGTTTCACCACTTTTATTCATTTATATTAGGTTTCCACTTTCCATTCAAGAAACTTGACATTTTGGTTGGATATAATTGCTTCACACAGGTAACAAGATTTCCACCCAAACTGGCATAGGAACCGGCATTGCAATTGCTGGAGTAGCACTCTACTCATTCATCAAAGCCAAGATCGAAGAAGAGAAGCGAGTGAGTACTCTTGTTTTCATTTGATTTTTGTATATACTATATATAGAATAGCAAAATAAACAAATACAATTGACATTATTATTATGCTTTTCTTTTTCTTGTGCAGCAAGCAAAAGCAGCTTAAGGTGTCAACTTGAGGATGTCTTGCACTGTAAATCATCACAAATTTCTTTCTAAATAATTGACTTTGTTTCAGTATATTGTACTATCTTTCTGATAGCGCGCATTTCATTTTCGTTCTTTATTTTTGTCAAATCTTTCCCACCTTGTTCATTCAGAAAACAATGACTTGCTGATTTGCAGTCTTCTTTTGATGACTGAAAAATGATGATGTATCCATTATTGCCATAAAATAGCTCTTGAATCTATAATAAAAGCTGTATTCACGATAAAACTCATAATATGCACGCGACAACACACACGAACGTGGTCTCGTGGTCTCTAGCTTTCAGAACATAGTTATTTCAAGGCATATAAGCCTCTTTGTTGGTTGTTGAGTCTCAACATCATCATCTCATGAACTAAGCAAATTGTTTCTCCATTTCTAATCAATGTAAAACTTTAGCATCATTACTTGAGAATACCTCTCTTGAGCAACATATGATCCAACAAAATTTAAATCTTATGCAACTTTATAAGTTGTTTTTGGGATTAAATCTATGTATATGTGGTTAGATAGGCTTGTAAGCCCTTCATTGAGTAGCAAAGAAAAACTTAATCTAGTATTTAAGCTATGAGATTTTTCCATTTAATAACTTGGTCTTTGAAGTTGAGCCTTCTTTTATGGACTTACGTTACATATAGTAATTGGAGGAACTAACTTGCTACCCATGACTTATACTTTTTTGACACTTTCCATTTTGCATTGTTTTTGTCATTATACTTGATAAGTTATCAAATTTCAAAAAATACAAGTTTTTAAAATTTTAAAAAGTATCAGAAATTTTCATGAGTTTTTACCGTACACTTTAAAACGGAAATTTTGAAAAAAAATACCATAAATTTTCATATGTTTTTACCAAAATTTTCAAAATTATATCAGAAATTTTGAAAAAAAAATACAAAATTTTCATGAATTTTTATCGGGAATTTCAAAACTATACCGAAAATTTAAAAAAAAATATTAGAAATTTTCGGTAAAAACTCATGAATGTTTTACCAGCAATTTTGAAATGTGAGCGTTTTAACGGAAATTTTAAAATTTTCGATAAAAACTCTTGTATCTTTTACCAAAATTTTCAAAATGCATGTTTTCAGAAATTTTGAATGGATTATCAAAAATTTCGTTATCGAAAATTTTGTTCGATCACTTTATTCTTTTTTTTTATCACAATTTTTTTTACATTATGAAAATATTAGAGATACCAAATTTAAAATTTAGGGTGACAAATTAATTAGTGTTTTCGTTCATAGTTGAACTATAGATTAAGGTTTACCACTCGCTATGAATGGATGAGTGAAACTATCAAAGAAAAAATTGCTATTATTGAATCAGCGTTGATAAATAAAAAAGTCGTAGATGTCAATTCTTAGAGAATTTAACTTGACACCCTTTAAGTTTGATCTGGCACCCCGTAATTTTCGTTATTCCAAAAATGTCTTTAGTGAGATGGGCAAAAAATTTCACGATGAAATTTCTGGTATTGGTTGCCAAATTTCTGGTACAAATGAAATTTTCGATATTACATACTAAATTTCTGGTAGTTCATTTGAAATTTTCGGTATTCTAAAAATTTCAAATTAACCAATTTGTACCAGAAATTTAGTATATACTGAAATTTCTGGTAGTGCATTAATTCAGACTTTTTAACGATCAGGGTTTTACAAACATCTTTTGAGGGTTTTGATTGCACCGACAAATTTGTGTGGTCTAGAATGCATCGTCATTTGTATAAATAGGGGCGTATTGAAACAACTAGAAAAATCATCGAAGATAAAACTCAATGAAGTCGTCATCGAACGTTTTTTATTCCACCGAAAGGGAAAGGTAAATATTGAGAAAACCTGAAGGGGTGAAATCACAGTCTTGCGACCATACAGATCGGGTAAGGAAGTCAGTTACGCGAGGGGAAGGTATTAGCACCCCACATGTTTGTGGTACTCCACGGGATCCACTTATGTTTGTTATAATCTAAGAGTGTGTAAAATCTATGTCTAAAGCTTAAAAGCTAAAAAGAAAAATGCAAAGGGGGAATGCATGCAAAAGAAAAAACATGGAGAAAAGAAGGAAATATTACAAAGGTCGCTCGGCTGAGTCCCGTGACCAGATGCCTACATGTCCCTTTTAAGGAATCAGAGCGTCGTAGTTCGGCTCAAACGTTTCTGTTTATTTTGTGTTTTTTAATGAACACTATTAATTTCGCCTTCTACCGCAACTCGACCTTTGGAGACTTACGTGTCAACACAGAAATTTAATAACATGTTCTTTTAAAAAAATTTGAAAGAAAAGCCCGAAGGCAAAAAGAGTTTGTGTTGGTTGGTGTTTTTATTACGGATAATAGCTAGTTGATCTCAAGAGAGAGATATTAGTCACTTCTCCACTTATCCATGAAATGATTCTTTGAGACTTGAACCACACCAAAGCCTAGAATGGAAGAATAATAAGATCAAGAAGAAACCCGCTTATCATCTCCCATACTCAATAAAGGTGTGATACTCATAAGTAATTTTTAAGTGTTTTGAAGATTGAAAGAAAAAGAGAGTTTTAGTTTTAATGAGATGCAAAAGAAGAAAGAAAATTCTAAGGGGAGACTAGCAAAATAATCCTAAAGTTGTCATGTATTATTGATCCTATAGTTGACGATAAAAGAGGGAAATATCTACCTAATATTGGCATACATGGATATAAGCCTAAGGTTTATTTAATTCAAACTTAGAAAATAGTGAATTGAAGATCCTATATAGAGCATGGTAAGAAGAGAATAAAGCAAGGATAAGAGAAGGGATGATAGAAAATAACTCAAGGAATGACCAAGCATCAAGTACACTCAACATCTTTATGACAGAACATAAGCAATAAAGAAAACTCTTAAACACACCAAGAGAGGTGGATAAGAAGTATTCAAAGTTTGATTAGAGAAAAAGATGTTAGGAGTATGAGAAAAATAGTAGAAATGGAATAAAATAGCATCAGGTGAGTAGCATATGCTATGTCAAAAATTAACCCTAAATTATGCACACAAGTTTTCAAACACAAACATTTTGGTCAAGTTAAAGTCCTATGCATGCTCCTAAATCAAAATTAGGTTAAAAATAGAAGAAAAAAACTTGTAAAATTAATTCAATTAAATCCTAACTTACTAAAGACTTATAAATCAAAAATATGATTTAAAGTTCTTGAGTTAACTTGAAAAGATGGAAATGATTGAAAATCAACAAGACTAGTTGACAAAAGGGCCAAACTAGAGAGTTTTTAGCAAAAAAATTGTGAAAAATGTAAGATCAAAAGTTAAAATTCAACAAAAATTATTTTTATGATTTCAAATCTTCCAAGAAATTCAAACATATTTTCTTTTATTTTTTGAAGTAAATGAAGTTAGATTTTCAAATGTTTCTTTAGGCTTAAGCAAGAAGAAAGTTCAAAAAATTAATATTAGCTTCTAAAATTTGGAAAAATAGGAAAATTGAAATTTAGATTCAACTTAAAATCATAAAAAATTAGTTTAATACCTAAAAGTCAGTAAGTATATTTTTATGGAATTTTATCAGTAGAGGAAAATATCAAACAAAAATTATTTGCACAATGTAACAAAAAAAGTAAAGAAAATGATATAACTAATTGATTGGTCTAATAAGCCTGCCACGGAATTTTATTAAAAAAAAATATTATGAAGTAGATTCACAATGAAACTCAGAATATTTTTTGTGGATTTTTTAGGTTAGTAAAAATTAGAAAATAAAATTCTAGAACCTAAAAAATGATTAAAATCCTAATTGAACTAATTAAATTATTTAATCTTCTAAAAAATAGTAAAAATATAGAATAAAATTCATAATATGAAAATAGACTAAAAATAAAGTCTATAATATTTTTTTGATAATTTTTTAATAAGAGAAAATATTTATAAAAAAAAGAAAACGAATAGAAAAATACATGAAAATTCAAATATGTTGAGGTCTACTACACCTGTTAAAAACCAAACGCGATCTAAAATAAATTCAAATCATGTTCAATTGGAAGCAGACACGTCATCGTCACTGTCCTCTAACCATGCCCTAACGTATTTTATACAGTTTGACATGCTAACTTCAAATCACGATTTCTCTTTCATTTCTTGATAAACTGAACAAAATTTTGATCAAATTAAAGATCTCATGGAGATCTCCAACACAGCACCAAGAATTTTTAAAAATGATTCACGATTCATAGAGAAAAAGTGCAATGAAAATCACTGATTATAAGCATTCCAAACTCATCAAATGCGTAGATCCAATACATGACTTTCAAATTTAGATTTCTCTTTCAATTCTTAACCAAAATTCATGATTCGAAGCACAAATCAAAGATCTCTTAGCAGTCTACATCATGTAACTTACGAAATTCAAAATCATCAAGAGATCGAGTAGAAATCAGAGCATGAATATCACATAAATCACTTTTTTTTCCAAAATTTTCAAAAACTTCTATCACGACCCGATCTTCAATTCCAAGCAAAATTATACACCGGGCCTAATGTCTGGCCAGCTATGAACATATAATCAAGCTTTAAATCAACTAAAACATGCTATGGATGAAGAACTTCAGATCTGAAATTGTACCTTGTGAGTTGAAAAATAAATTCAACTATTTCCTCTGAATTCATATGAAACCCTTCTGATCTTGTTTGCTAAGCTTCACTGAAGATAAATTGATGAAGATGAGAGTTCTGGAGCATAGGAAAAATCAACTTTGAAGAGAGAAAATTGAGAAATGAGATGAATTCTTGTTTTTGTGAAGAAGTTCTTTTTTTTTTACAAATGAAAGTGAGGTGAGCTTTTATAGAGTGAAGAAGAGTGCAGAGGGAGTTTTCTTGAGGGTATGAAGGTCATTGCAGGCTTGAAGACCGTTGGAGGGAAATTGTATCAAAGCTAGTGGATTTGAGTGAGACAATATGAGGCATGCATTTTGTGTTGTTTCAACTTGGT